GGTTTTGCAATCACATTTATTTACCTTCACTTTTAACTATTGATTCTTGAACCAAAACAGCCTTAATAAGGTTGTGTTGCTGTCCATATAATTGCTCTTTTGGGTCTTCAGTAATTACATGTTTATGCCTGCTGCCAGGCTGCTGGTGTATGTTTAGTGCAAACCAGTCATTGGGAGGTCTGAGCTCAGATTTTAATAATTTTCCCACAGTATAATTTTTCCACATCTTTGGTCGCTTTCCATCATTGCTTTTAAAAGTCAAGTGACATAAAACGGAGCTGATGTGAGAATCTACATTAATTTCCAGGTAGCTATATACAACAACAATCACCTTAAATCTTATTTTATACTGTGAACTTTTGCACATTCCTGCACAAACTCCACAGCGCTTCCACTTAAAAAAACAGATATATTTTTACATTTTAAAACATATTTTCTTTTACAGATTTTTTCTGTTTAATATTATCTTTCTTGACTTTTTGCACTGAATTGATTGTTATGCACCAAACCAAAGACAAATTGCTTCTATGTGCAAACTGTTTCACTGATTCTGAAGTCCACTGGTTTTTAGAACACGCATGTTCGTGCCCAATAAAGTTGCCGTATATCTCCTGCTAAACAAAACGGTGGACATGATAGGAATTTATTTTCGGTCTTCTCTTAGAAACAGCGGTCTCACATTCAAAGATTTAGAGTTCTGAAAGTTCAACTGCATTTTTCACAGAAAGTCGTCGTCGTAGTTTCCTGCAGTCACAGGCCAAGAATGCAAAGTCACCATAGAGACTGTCAGCAGGTTGAATCTTCTCCTTTGTCTGTGTCATTACTTGACACTGGCTGGTGTCAAGCAACAGGTAATAATGGCTCCTTAGCCTGTGCTGTTTGTTTGAATTGTTACCTCTGAGTCAGACATGTTAGAGGTGAACAGCACAGCGAGCTAACAAATGTCCATAATATCGGAGGCTGCCACTCATGGCACTATTACAATCCTCCAACTGTGCGAAAACAGTGCAGGAAAGGTTTTCTCAGGAAAAAAAACATAATAATAATATTGCAAGGTGAAGGTGGTTCTGGACTTTCACTGGAAATGTCTGGGATTTATTTTAATTTTTTAAGAAACACATGTACAGTATGCACACACAGAACCAGGAGGCTGCAAGACCAAACCAACAGTGCTGAAATGATTAAGAAACACCTCATGCAACACCTTAGTTCCCTCCTTATAGGTGAAAACATCCGCTTTTTCAAACAAATACCATGAAGTAGTAATATTTGACGAGCATTTAACTGTTGGTCCAAAGCAGAAGCACAAGAAATGTGCTTGTTTTTTTAAATGTTAACAGGTAATCGACTAGTATCCCCTCGGTTGTGGGACAAGGAGATAAGAGATTATACATGTTAACTATTAACATCATTGAGGAATTTTAGATGCATTCTTGACTTCCTCTGAAGTTGTATAATATCTGTGAATGAGCTTGATTTAAAAATAGACTTTTAGCCAATCTAGCGGTGTGGCTCTAAGGAAGCAAAGGGCATCGTCCACCACTTTGAAACCAATTAAAATATCTCAACAACTATCTGATGGATTTAGATGAAATTTTGTGCAGACATTTTAAGGTCCCCAGTGGTTAACTCCTGCTGGCGTTGATAATCACGTGACTTTTCACCTCGCCATACGAGGTGGACGTTGTGGTTCATAGAGAAATACACTCAGTGTCCACTTTATTAGGCACACCTTTACAATCTAATGCAGTCCAATACAACTCTGCCATAACATCTATCGTTATGAAGCTCATAATGTTCAGATTTAGTTTACATTGTCGGAAATGTTTTAATTCAATTATAGGTTTCTTATCTTTTTATCCTCGTCATTTACACACACAAGAAGGGGAAGAATATCAGAAACATAATGCACAGCAGCACCACTAATTATAACCTCAATGCTAAATCATATCATTTGATTAACACCTCTATGATGGTGTTGCTAATTAGCAAATGTGCGCATGCTTTCGGGTTAAACTAAGGTAGTGTCACGATCAGGCTTTGCCTTGTGTGTTCTGTGTGTTTCTTTCTGTAGCTCCTCACTCTACCTGTCAGCCACTCCCTCAGCACCAGTCTAACTCCCTTCACCTGCCGCTGATCACTAATCAAACACTCCCTCATCAGCACAACTCTCCTCACCTGTTCTAGCCACTATTTAAACTCCTGCCTCCCAGTCACCCACTGCCAGATCATTGTTTTTGCTCGTCCTGTTCCCGGTTTCCCAGTCTGCCTGCCCTGCCTCGTCCTGCTGGATTTCCCCCCTCGTCTCTTGTCTCGTCCTTGGATTCCCTGTTGTGTTTGTTATTCATTAAAACCCTTTTCTCACTGCATCTGACTGTCTGCGCTTGAGTCCTCATCATGCCCCGTGACAGGTAGTGAACCTGGTAAATATTACCTGCTGAACATCAACATGTTAGCTTTGTCAGTGTTACACCAAAACACACAGGGAAGTCAAACCGTTTAAATCCTTCTACATATTGTTTTCACAAAACCGAGATGAGTGGCTATAATACTAAGATGTAACAGCTGTACTAAACCCAGCCTGATCTCGGAGGAGCTCAGACCTGTGTGAGAGGGAAATGTCTTCCATTTCCCATAATGCTGCAAAATCCCATTTAAAAACTGTTTGGTGTCAAAAACAGAGACTTGTCAGATCTGTTTGTTTCTGAGGTCAAGTTAATTATGAGATCAGGCTTTGCAGGATGTAAACTCGGTGGCGGTGATCCTTTCTTTGAGGGTGGTCTCGAGTCAAGCACAGCTGGACTTGTAATCTTTTGTGGACAAAGTCCTATGTTGTAGGATCTGACAAAACCAGCTTGTTGCTGTACACACATTTACTTACAGTATACTTATTCCGAAAAGCAAGGTGACAGAGATTTATTTGTATGCTTTGTCTTTTGAAAGTATTCATTTACACTTTCAAATCACCAGGTGCTCATTTAATTATCTTGTCAGGCTGTTGCTGTTATGTTATTGATGGCAGAGGAAGTGGGTTAAACCACTGAACACCTGTGTTCTAGTATGCAAAATAACAACCTAGAGGGAAATTAAGTTACTGAAACACAGTTCTGTTATCTTCTCTGTTTCTGCTTTGTGTTTTTTCAAGCATGAATCAGTTTTAGGGTTTCCCACTTGAAGCATAAAACATCATTGTGAAATGCATCTGATGAAAGCCCCAGCCGTGCGTGCAGATATGCATGGGCTAATGACTGACATGGTTGAATTCAGACGGACTCAAAATAAAGGTTCACCCATCTGGTTTATGGTTAGCTCGGAAAAGTGAGTTCTCAAGGATTCAGATTTGGTGTTTGGCCTTGGGAGTTTGTTTTCCTACAGGAAAGCATGAGTCTGCAGCTGCTGACACAGACAGTCCTACGCAACCACAACGCACACCTGCAAGAGGGAAGAGGACCAACCCAAACCAAGAACCCATTATAACTATACAGTATAACCGTGCACAGACAGAACCAGCTCTGACCAGCATGTTTGGTGTCAAGCAATTTTCAAACTTAGGTTGAATAGTTAGGCAATCATATACAAGGTGCCGTAGAGCCATTGTGAGCTTTGTTCACACCATGAAATACACGTATGATCATGAAACCTTCACATATCTTAGTTTGAAAGTAAAAGATCATTTTGAAAGTGTAATCTGTCTTTTTGAAGTGATTTTGCCAATACCGACACAAATGTATAGAATCTGAAAGCCTGATCAAGTGTGCGACCACACATTCTCTCTCTCTCTCTCTCTCTCTCTCTCTCTCTCTTCGATCCCACCTTTTTTACCTAAATATTATCTGTTGTCGCCTTCCACCAGCCTAACCAGAAAAGATACCCTTATCACTGTCCCGCCCATGAGCTCTGCAGGGGGAAGCCCACAGACAATCTGCAGTTCACGCAGTACAATCAGCCTGACACAGTACACTTGTGAGAGACAATGTGAGGTGACATCTGGAATCCAAGGTGCTGCTCACATGAAGATGGAGGTGATCTGAGACTTGTTATCTCTTGGCACAGCAGTTCCAGGAAGTCTTAGATAAATTACAGCTGCACCATTGTGAGACATTACTGGTAAACTAAATAGGGAAGCAATGACTGATAATTATGGCAACAATACTGAGTACACAAAGGACACAACTGACTATGTTTGTTCGTTTCCTTCTCAGCACACACAGAGCATGCATAGAATATCAGGAAGTAGGTTAAAAAAAGACAGATTTACACACATGCCCATTAGGATTACGGAAACTGAAGTAAATCACCAATTCATGTTTGTATTAATGTGGAAAGTACTTAAATGTTGAAGTCACTGATGCTGTGCAGAAACTATGGATGATGCAATTCTCATCCGGGATGAGAGCAGTTGGGGTTCTTGGGAGGGTTGAACATCTTTTCTATTTTTTTGGTGTGCTGCAGATGAACGATATGCTATCTATCTAAAAACAGGGCCAAGTCTGACCACACAAGGCTCGGCTCCAAAAGACTCTGACATCTTTGGTTACATAATGAGTCACGTTGGTTTAGGACAGAGGTGAACAGTCTAGTCTCCGATATTTGTGCCATTTGTGCTCAGCCTGTAGCCGCCGGTGGTGTGTATGTCTGCACGTACATGGGTCCAGTCATGCTAGAGCTTTTCCTGTACCTCCCCTTATGTGTATTCCATTTAAATGTAGGAGTCTTGCTTGGTGTGAATTATAAGAAGCAGTTTGTTTTTTTCTAACTGATCTATTCTGATATTTTTCCACAATTAAGAGCTCTTTAACGCTTGATCAATACAGTAAAAAAACAGCACATACAATGTGCATAAAGTATAATAAAGCAATAGCAGAGTTCTCTTTCCATGCCATATTGTACTTTGCAATAATTCAAATGAAGTCCTGAAGTACATGGAAGTTGAAAGCTGGTGTGCTGGAAGTGAGACAACAGTGCCCACAAGTGGTCGTTATGAAAAACAACATCAAAAGTGAAGTAAAAAAATATTTATTGGACAAACGTGTTAGCCTCACAGACTTCCAGCAGAAGCAAATCTGCTCATTAACATCATAACACATAATACATCACTCACACATACATTCATTCATGCACAGCAACAAACACACACACACACATACATAAACACACAGCTTCACATCTGCAAACAAGCTCGACATTATTTCTTTTAGTGGCTGGGTCGGAAGGGGAACGACATCCCCGCCATGAAAGGCTGAGCGGGGTACTGAGGGTGAGAGGAGGGATGGGTGGCTAAAGGTGTGTGCGCAGGGTGTGTCGGGTGTGAGGCGATGGGGGAATGAGCAGCGTGCGGGCTGAAGGCCAGTGGAGGCGTGTGGATGTTGTTGTAGTACAGCACTGGGCCTGACAACACCAACTGGAGCAAACTGTTGAAGGAAAGCAAGACATAAAGAGAATAACTGATATGAAACAAAAAACTTCATTCGTCTTCATTCGTCATTTTTAGGCACAAGTTATTCATCACAACAAAGGACGAGGTTTAAGAAACATCCAGCATACAAAGGACCCCCATCACAACTACACTTACTTTACTTAAATTAGTGACTCTTTTGTCAGTGAGTGCTGCTCAGTTTTGATTTACGTGGGATTGACGATGTAACCATTTCTGTCCTAAAATCTAGATTGCTGTTCTTAAAATAGACAGTTCACCCCAAAATCGAAAAATATATGATTTCCTCTTACCTGTAGTGCTATTTATCAGTCTAGATCGTCTTGGTGTGAGTTGCCTAGTTTTGGAGATATTGCCCAGAGAGATATCTCCAATATAATGGGACTAGATGGCATTTTTAGGAACTATTTTCTTACCCGCCAGCCGTTTCACAGTGGAGAAGGAAACGTGCATCTTCTCATGGACGAGCTGTCCCGCTAGCTAGCTCAGGGGTGCACAGGTGAGCTACCAGTAGCGAGTATAAATTCACACTTCCTTCTGGGCTGTGATACGGTGGGTGGGTGTTGTTCAACAGAAAGAGAATGCATCCGACATAAAACTTCTCAAAACAAGGTCTGTGGAGTAACTGGGTCATGATTTCTGAAGAGATACATTGCTGTTGAGTTTTTCAAATGTATTTTTTTGGCACTTTGAGCACCACAAGCCAATATAGTCCCATTATAGTCAAGAGAAGAAGACGTCTCTACGGCCGATAACTCCAAAACTAGTCAACTCACACCAAAACAATTTAGACTGATGAATAGCACTACAGGTAAGAGGAAAAATGTGCATTTTTCATTTTGGGCGAACTGTCCCTTAAACATGCTACTTTAAACATGGAAAATAATTCAGAATTTTTTTATATGCAATATATTCTTTACATTATTCAAACAAACAACATTAAGTGCGTGTGGAATTAATGTGCACCGTCCACAGTGTGACCGTGCACATAATGTAACACAGTAATAAGACATGAAGGTATACTCTGCATAGGTAGATGATCCTGAAGCCGATGCTGAGCTTGTTCTAGCTCTAGCTGAAACCAGCTAACCATAGAAATGGTTCCAAAGTAAAGGAGCGATGTTAATGGTTCTTACTTGTTGTGTGGCAGGCGGGAACAGATGGCTCTCAGGTCCTCTGTAGAGACAAGCAGCATGAAATAAGCACTCGATCACCACCACAGCACCATGAAAAAAAATCAATATGACAACCGATGAAACCAGTTAGTCAGTTTCTTGTTTCTTGTTGAAAGTTATGTGGAAGCCTGATGTTCATTTGTGTTTCAGTCCCTATAAAGCTGGAAAACACACTAGCTAGGAAACTGTGAAACTATTCGGCTTGTTTCATTTTCAATCACAAAAATACTAACAGGATGTGAAACGTGAAGCTTCAAGTATATAAGTTCTGTTCAGAATCAAATAATCTGTCAACCACGAGAGGCACGACCGGACAAGCCCTCACCCTTACCTCTCGAGCAGAGTAGAGCTCCATTGGCCATGGCCACCTGCAGGGCCTGAGCCAGCCGGTCCAGGGCCAGCTGAGACAGTCCACGTGCATCTGTGGACGATGTGTGAGTGTGTTTGTCGGCCTGGTCCAACAGCCTGGAGAGGTCCGAGGTCAGTGCGGCCAGAGACTCCATCTGGAGCAGCGCCAGGCGACCGTAAAGCCCCTTCTCATTTAGTATGTTTGGCAAAAGCATGAGGACCTACATGAGGCATAAGACAGGCAACAACTTGATTATCTTCACTTTGTATGTTGGAAGTGTTTTGTACACTTCTTATAAATGTATACTGTGAGGTAAGTGTATCTAAAAACACACCACACACCTGTAGGACACTCAGATGGAGAGCAGAGAAAAGAGGCCCCACCTCTGGCTCCCCCTCAGCGGTGCCATTGGTTAACCCCGCCTTCTTGTCCCTCCTGTAGGCCAGGGGGGCTTTGACGCACCAGCGCACCAACCCCCCTAACGGTGTGACATCAAGTGAGCTGATTGGCTGATTGCCAGAGAGGGCCGTGTTCAGGAAGTTGATTAGGACCAGACCAGGGTCATCTTGGATCCACGACACGATCATCTGGAGGAGTTCTAAAGGAGGGGTGAGCTCCTCTGAAAACACACATACGCACATGTTGTTAAAAATGTAAGATCTTGAATCTCTTTTGATAGTTTTTAGGTCCCAGTTTTTAGATGTTTTTGTACATTTGTCTTGTACAACCTGTGGTGAGGTCATAGAGGGTGGTGACAGCGGTGATGAACTGGCAGCAGAAGCGTGGGCTGGCGTTGTGGATGTTCTGCAGCGTGGGCCCGGAGCCCGGCACCATACTACAGTAGTCGTCTACTAGAACCTGAGCCAGGCGCACACAGTACACACGGTGGGTTCTCTGAGGGAATCATAACCAGAGGCATATTGTCTTTTAGTACATCCATAGTACACAAACAGAGCGAGGCACTAAGTAGTTGAAATACATCCCACACAATAGTACTCAAAACACATACAAACCCTAAAGCACATTTAAGTGTGATGGTTAGTTTGAACACACACCTGTAACCAGGTAGCAGCACATTCCAAGATGGGAACCCTGCCCACAGCGATTGCCATGGAGACCAGCTTGCCTAAAAGCGCCATGCGACTTTCGTCCGCCTGGTTGCCTTGGAGACTAAAGAGGGCCGAGAACATGAGCTGACGGACGGTATCGCGGCTTTGTTCTTGGAAACAGCTGCACATGATCTCCAAGAGCTGGAGCTCCTGAAGAGCACTCATCCTCTGAAAGAAGAACACAAGAGCGGTCCAGATGTTTGCATTGATGTGCTGTGTGTGTGTGTGTGTGTGT